AGCCCCAGAGAAGCTCCCCAGGGCCCCGGAGGTGACTTTCTTCCTCCACGTGGGAACGTTGGAGAACGTGTTGGCCGGCCCTGTAGACGCGGGGCTGATCCCTGCATTACTTTGCTGGGGCTGCTGTACCGAGGCGCCACAGAGTGGTACGGACAACGGAACGTCTTCGTTTCAGTTCTGGAGGGGCTGGACGGCCAAAGCCAAGGGGCCGGCGAAACTGGTTCTTTCTGAGAGTGGGGAGGGAGATCTGTCCCCAGCCCTCCCCCCCGGCTCCTGCTGGTTCGCTGGCTTCTTTGGCGTTCTGGGGCTGGTAGGTGACGCCCCACCCCAATCTCTGCCTGAATCTTCATGTGGTGTTCTTGTACGTGTCTGTGTCCAAATTTCCCAGCGGTCGTATTGGATCAGGGCCACCCCTCTCCAACATGACCCCTCTTAACTAATTACATCTGCAACGACCCGGTTTCCAGACAAGGTCACATTCTGAGATACAAAGGGCCAAGTCTTCAACACACGAAGGCTTTAGGGGAGAAGCAATTCAAAAACCGCAACCAACCCCCTTCGTACACAAGGAGTGTCTCCGAGTAAAAACAAAAACAGGTTCGGTGACCATGACGTGAAAGACAGGCCAAGAACGGGCATAAGGAGTTGTCTAGAAAGCAAATGCTTGTGATCACAAGACACAGGGAGGACGGCCCTACCTGACCAGTGGTTAAATACAAACCACGACACCTCCACACCATGCTCTCCCTGTCGAACTGGTGAGCTTCATATAGCGGACAGTCCTCAGGGCTGGCCACGCTTCCAGCCAACATGCAGGCAACGTCAGAGGTCATTGTCAGCATGAATGTCCCCCCTGAAGATGTCCCTTTGATCCAGCACGCCTATTTCTGGTCACCTGACTTAGGGAAAGATCCCAAAACATGGGGAAATATCGATGCACAAAAACGTTCCTCTCGGTAATTAAAAATAAATAGAAGCAAACCAAAGATAGCAAAAGGGATTTTGGTATACTCATGGGAGAGGGTATTATACGCTCGTTACAAATCACATTGAAAAAGAACATCAATGGCCTTGGGAAATACCCACGTGACAATGTTAAGTGACGGGAGCAAGCTGCACACACACGTACTGTATCAGAATTGCACCCAGGGTTTCATTTACAGAGGTGAGAACAAGAGGGACCCATGTTGTTGGAAGAAGATACTTTATTCCGTGCTAGAGAAAGGGGCACGACACCACGTGGGGCCACATGGCGAAGCACCAGGCCCGGGTCGGGAGGCAGAAGCAAGGGGAAGGCTGGGTTTCTGCAGGAAAGACAAGGCAGGGGAGCCAGCCTAGGACGGGCCAGTTTGAGCCATTCTGGAAGGTTCTGAGCCGCAGAGGCGGTCTCTGGTTGCCCGGTACGTGCCCCGGGGTTGATCCCGGGTGGGGGCATCGGGGGCGCCCGGTGTGTGGGAGCCCTGGCCGTCTCTGGCAGCTGGCTAACCCGGGGAGGGCCGCCTGTCCCCCAGCCAGGGAGGCCACAGACACCAGGACAGCAAGACTGCAGAAAATACAGAAGTGTAGCTAAAACCATCGGCCCTGTAGACAGAGCTAAACCCCAAGCGAGCAGAAACCCACACTCAAAGAAGACACACTCGTGCACACGCACGCACGTGTGCACACACTCACACGCATACATGCACGCATATGCACACATCCACACATGCACACACATTCACACACACACGCAGCCTTGATTCTGTTTTCACAAATGTGCAGAAACAAGTAGGACTGGAAGGAAACATTCCAAAAACGTTGATAGTGTTCACTGTGTGGTGAGTTGAGTGTATTTTCTTCCTTCTGCTTCTTCTAATTTTCTTTATTTTCAAATTCCGTGTGAATGACTCTGCATTGTTCTTAAAGTCAGGCTAAAAGGGTTGAAGGCACTTTCGTGGCTGCCCCCTCCATGGCCTCAGTGGGCCTCTGAGCACGGACCCCGAGCCTCCCCTCCGGCCACCAGGCCTCCCCCGCCCCCCTCCTCCCCTCCCCCCCCACCCACCGCGGTCCTCGCTCAAGCAGCTGTGACTCAGCGTGCTGGCATCTCAGCCCCCAGGAGGGAAGGAAGCACAGGAGTGGAGGGCGAGATGTGAGCCGTGAAATGGAAAGGAGGAACCACGCCTGGATCGTGCTGGTGACTAATTATCAGCTCTTCTGTATATAACATCGCGGGCCCTGCGGAGCGAGCGCCCGGGACAGCACGCTCCACGCTCACAGGGGACAGGTGCCACCTGCGTCCCTCTCCTGCCCTTGGGGCGTGAGGATCTGGCCAGGGGTTGGCCACCACCCTTGGCCAGAGAGTTCGGGGCACAGTCAGGGAAGCCAGGACCCCAGAGTCCAAGCCCCTTTGTCAGAATCCCAACCGGAGTGGCCACATCCTCTGATGGTCCCAGGGTGTGACTGTCCCCCAGCTTGGGTGACCGGGAGTCCTGGTTTCAGCATTGAAGCCCTGCGTCCCCTCCGTCCTGGACAAACAGGGATGGCTAGTCACGGACTCCCAGGGGCCCAACCCTCCCCTCAGGGTCCGGAGCCCTGAGAGCAGGGGGGGAAGGGAAGGGGGGAGAAGGGGAGGGGAAGAGGGGCAGAGGTGAGTTTGGGGGTGAAGACAGTCACTCTGGGAGGATGTCCCGAGGTGACCCAGGTACCTCCCGTTTCCAGACCCTGCCTCCATTCAGCTGCGACCTTGTCAGTTCATGTGCAGAGGAGTCAAACCGTCTATTAACATTTTTACAGGTACTTTAAACCACAGTCATTATGCGGGGGTGCTTTAGAAATTATGGCGGAATACACTTTTGCTAATCGATTTGATTCACTGCATCTGTGCAAGGTCTACACACATAGGCAAACATGTAATAAAAACTACGAGGCTAGACAATTTTTCACGCAGAACTGAGAGAACCAGACATCTAAAGGACCCCCTTCGCCTCGAGGCATTTCGGGGGTGGCTCAGAGCGGGCCAGCGTCACCCGCACACAGGCTCAGCTATCGCGGGGCTGATGGCTCCCTGCCTGACCAAGTGCTCTCCGGAATGTTCCACACTTAGCAGGGATGTGGGAAGGAGGAGCCCGCCAAGCCAGACTTCAGGGCCTGTGCCCGACAGTTCCCGATGGCACCTCCTACTTCTCCCGGAATCGGCTTTCAGGCTCTGCCTCTTGGGACCTGGCCTTTGTGTGTGCACGTCGGGCCGGGCGCTGTTAGTGCAGAGCCTGCTTTGGATCTTCTGTCCCCTTCTCTCTCTCTCTGCCCCTCCCCCCTTGGCTCTCTCTAAATAAATAAATAAACTTTAAAAGGAAAAGGGGGGCCCCCACGGCTCACATTCCAAAATGACCATGTTCCCCGCCTTCCTCGGGGCACAGGAAGAACACCTCCTGGCAGCCCAGAGGCCGCAGCGGGGTCCCAACAGTGCCACGCGGCGCCCAGGCCCTTGCCCTGCGGCCTCAGTTTCCCCAGAGAGGGGGTGAGAGAGGCTACCTCTCGTCCTCTTTGTCCGCAGGCAACGGCTGCTTTCATCAAGGCCACCGGGTCCCGTCGACACCACCTGCACAGCCGGCTCCCGACTCAGCCAGCCCTTCCCGACAGGAGCCCCGTAACCCACGGTGCCGAGCAGGCGGGCGCAGGCTTGGCTCCGGGGGAGCCCCCACCCCCTGCCAGGCTGCGGTCCCCGCCCGTCGAAGGGGCTGCGGCGTCCGCCCGGTGCCGGCTGGACCTCCTCTCTCTTCAGTCTTGCCCGCTCCCCCCGGGGGCAGAACAAGGCACCGCCTCAGAGGACGCATGCTTTAATCTAGAAGACCGATCTTTTACTCGGGCCTCTGCCAGCCGCCGTGTGCCCGGGACGACGTGCGCCAGTTTTCGGAACGGCGGTGAGTCTGTGGTTGTGCGGCGGCCGGGTTTGAAGTGGCCGTCAGCGGGGGAAGCACTGAGGGTGAAACTGGTTTCCTGTCCTGGAACATTTGGGGATTCTGATCACACTCCCGGCCTCTGACAGCCTCCGGGGCCTTTGGAATATTCCGGCACGGCTGCCGGGTCCTAACGTCGTCTGTTGCCGTGTGTGGTTCTGGGACCCTCTGGAGGGGACCCTCTGAGGGCCGATCAGGGCCTTGAGCCACAGAGGCACCGAGGGGAGGGCCTCGGGTGTGAGTGGCAGGGCGTCTGCGAGGCGCAGGCCACATGCAGGAGCAAGGCTAGTTTGTGTTCTGGGCTCCGCTGGAGGCACTCTAGGGCAGGGTCCACATTCCTGTCCCGGTGGGGGCTCTTTCTCTCCCTCTGCAGATGAGACTCCTTCAGCTGCCTGGAGGAGGGGGTCCTGGCCGCGGCCCCCCAAGGCCTGCAAGGTGGTCCAGCTTCAAGACCCCAGAGGAACTACAGCCCCTTCCTCCCCATGTGCAGGGATGGCCCCGAGGCTCCTGCTGGTCAGCCGCCCCCTGGGCCAGTGCACCTGCCGGGAGACGGTGCTACTTTGGCCAACCTGGGGTTGCCGTGTGGGTCTCTGGGGTCCTTGGGGGCTGGCTCTGAGACGGGCTGCCTCCAGAACCACCCAAAGTCGGACCACTCCTGCTCCTGAAGGAACAGAGGGTGCTGTGAGGTCAGGAGGGTGTCACACAGGTCCAACAGCCACTACCAGCTCCCCCCGCCCCCATCGACAGCCCCAGAAAACAGAAGCAGTAAGTGCATCCGAGTGCAGGGCTGGGCCTCGGACCAGTCTCTGCCACTGCAGTCGTGGACTGGGCAAGTCCCCCGCCTCTGGGACTGTCACCTCGTCCTAACCGAGAGCGTTAAACTCTGAAATCTGCACTCTGCCCACAGGCTGTGCCGCCACGGCCCAGGTCTGGCCTGTTTGTGTCTGACCCCTGGCCAAGAAGGGTTTTAACATTTTATTTATTTAGTTATTTTTAAAGTTTATTTATTTACTTTGAGAGGGGCAGAGAGAGGGAGGGAGACACAGAATCCAAAGCAGGCTCCGAGCTGTCAGCACAGAGCCCGACACGGGGCTCCGACCCACCAACCGTGAGATTGTGAGCTGAGCCAAAGTCAGATGCTCAACCGACCGAGCCATGCGGGTGCCCGGTTTTAATATTCGTAAGTGCCTGGGGTGGGGGGAGGGGAAGACGACCTGTGGAGGTTGCACCAAAGTCAAATTTCAGGTCCATAAATAAAGTTTCATTGTGGCACGGCCACGCCCACTTGTCCATGTCGTGTCTCCTGTGACTTTTGCAAAAGAGAGGATGCAGCAGAGACCGCCGGCCACAGAGCCTAAATATTTACTCTCTGGCCCTTTCCAGAAACAGTTCGCAGAGCCCTGGGCTAGATCGATGCACCCCACGCCTCCGTCACCCACCGGCCACGGCAGAATTTCAGCCAGGCCGGTCCATGACGCGCCTGGCGCTTTCTGTTCAGCCAGCCCGGGGCTAACGGCCCTCCTCACCAGTCTCGGCCACAAGAGATGACATCCTTCCGTCGAGGTTTTGATGCTCTACGCTTTTTGCTAATGTGCAGGAAGATCCACACAGGACTTGAAAAGCTGACGCTGCGTCCTATCCCTGCCGCCCCACACGGCGCCCTGTGGCCCGCTGATCTTAGGGCCTCTTCCGCCGGATCCTGGGCTTCTGTGGCCCTGATGCCCACTGTCTGCCTGTGGTCACGTCCGTCATCAGCCTAGCAGATGTCCAGCCTCGTGGGGTCGGAGCCGGGACGCTGTGCAAGCAGGAGGGCCTCACCCTCTTCCCCGAGCTCTGGCTGACGGGAGCGTGAGCCGCGTGGGGGCAGGTGGGGGCAGGAAGTTTGCTCCGCCGATGAATCAGTGGGGCCGAGCCTGGGCTTCTGGGGTCATGTTTCGGTTGGTGTGGGGCCAGACTTTTCCAACTTCCCAGCTGGGTCCTGGGGGCAGGGGGCGGCCCGTGGTCCCAGCCATAGAGCCGGTGGGGGGCGGGGGGGCGGGGTGCCGGAAGTGCTTTGGTGGGAGATGGCTGGGGTGGGTGTGAGCCACGTGGAGGTGGTGGGGGATCCGTGTGTGGTCCTCAGCCCCCGCTAGGACTCAGACCACCTGAGCCCTCGTCTCAACACTCCTGCCTGTCTGTCGTAAGGGGCCAGAGAGCTCTGCAGACTCCACTTTCCCCCAAAACTAACAGTGGACGATGCTCCCAGAGGGGAAGGATGACCCGGGGAGGGACGGCTCTCCTTCCCACTCGACGTGGCCCAGGTGCCACGGGACCGTGGGACGAGGAGATCCCACGTCAGGAACATTCCGCTTGGTTTCCATCTTGGCCCAAATGGCGGAGTGCAGACGTCAGAGCGTCGAGGACGGAGCCAGGTGGCACCATCGTTCCTGGCAGGGGACTCCACCCGCAGCGGGCCAGGAAGCAGAGGCGAACAGAATGAGCCACGTCAGAGGCAGGCGGTGGCCCACACCTCCGAAGCCGTCTGCCTCGGGAGTTGGGATTCACACACGTCCTCTGGCAGTGCCGTTGGACCAATAGCCTCCCACGGGCCTCCCAGACAGAGGCGCTCACTCCCTGTCCCTGGCAGGCCCGCCTAGAACGTTCTCTGGGCTTCCCACTCTGCTATCTCCCAGCCCAACTCAGCTCCAAGGTGGATACGGGCGACTGGCCATCGGAAGACTGAGCGGGACACCAGCTGGAAACCTCTGGACCGTAAAGGCCCCACATAGTCCACCTGAGGCTGGCCTGCCACTCACCAGGCATTTTCAGCCCTGGGGAAGCTTCCAGGATGTGGAAGGCAGAGGAACACCTGTCAGGAAGCAGCGCTGTCTTCCAGACAGGTGGAGAGGAGTCCGGCAGACTGGGATGGCAGGATGTCAGCAGACCCTCGAGAGGGGTCCCCTGGAGGCTGGAGACCCAAGGGGAGCAAGCAGGAGGGTGAGGGTCAGGGCTGCTTCCTGAAAGAGGAAGGGGGCAGATATAAGAAGGGAGAGCCTGGCCTGGAGGGGCTCCAGACGGAGGAGAGCTTTCTAGCAGGAGAAAGAAAGGGAAAGCCCCCCCCACACTCACAGGCTTGTGATCAGACCTGAGTGTTTCCTTATTTAAATGCCCCAGTTACCCGCATGGCCACCACTTGGTTCCCACGGGCCCACGGGGTTGACCACCTGTGCCCCCACCACCACCACCACCACCACTCAGGCCATCTGTTACTTAAACCTCTGTTCCTGCTGTGGAAAAAGAAACAAGGAACCGCCTTCCCCCAGCCAGCCCCAGACAGCTCATGTCAACTCCAGAGGGCCCACAGAACTCTGTCATAGGCGTGACGGCAGACCTGGTCCTCAGAGCCCCAGGCAGGAAGCAAGCTTTTTTACCGACGTCATCCTAGGCAACTTGCAGAATCGTCTCCCAGAAACAGGGGACGTGGGCCCAGCAGGGTGAGCCAATGGCCTGAATGAGGTCCCAGAGGCCCGGGCGGCCCAGCACCTTCCCCTGCCGCTGGACCTGGTATCTACGGGGGTCCTTGTGGGTTCAGTCCCACATCCCGCAGCCCCCCAGCCAGAAGGTGGCCTGGTCGTTGCAGAAGCCGCTTTTTTTTTTTTTTTCAACGTTTATTTTATTTTTGGGACAGAGAGAGACAGAGCATGAACGGGGGAGGGGCAGAGAGAGAGGGAGACACAGAATCGGAAACAGGCTCCAGGCTCCGAGCCATCAGCCCAGAGCCCGACGCGGGGCTCGAACTCAACTCACGGACCGCGAGATCGTGACCTGGCTGAAGTCGGACGCTTAACCGACTGCGCCACCCAGGCGCCCCCAGAAGCCGCTTTTGAGGAGGACGAGGGCTCGCAAGCAGGGGAGGCTCTGGTGGGGGTGGGGCCCAGGAGCGTGTCCGTCCAGGTCTGAGGGACCCCGGGCGTCCAGCAATTAGGAAGCAAGCTGTCCATGCCTGTGTAGCCACTTTCAGGACCACCGGGGGCCCACACGTGCAGGAGGCTGTGGTGTAAATGTCACCAGAAGGGAGGCCAGCCTGCCGGTGCCCGCGTGGCCTTCTCGCGGGTGCCTGCGCTCGGGGCAAGGGGGCCGGGGGGCAGCCAGAGAGCACGGCCACAGCGATTTGTGTCACCGTTCATCTGTTTGTCGTGTGGATTCAGGCAAAGCTGTTAGAGAGGGCCTACTCTGCGCTGGCATGTCACATGAGGTCCTTCTAGGCCTCGATTCGGCTCAGGCTCCAGAGAGGTTCCGGAGCCGAGAGCCAACGATGAGCCAGCACCAGTTACCAGGTGTGGAACACCTGCCAATCCTCACGGCAAAACTACCCCTGCTGTGGCCACGCCTCGCTGTGGAGAGGCACATACCGTGGGCTCCACGCGCCTCCCCCCCACCACTTCCACATGTAAGAGAACCGGGGCCTAGAGAGGGTAAGCAGGGGGTCAGGCGTCTAGTGAGAGGCTGAGTGTAAAATGCAGACCTTCCATGCCCAGGCAGGGCCTCTCTCTCTCTCTCTCTCTCTGTCTCACTGACGACCGCTTCTCCGGCAAAGGCCCTGTGAGAACCTGGAGCCCAGAAACGCTCCCTTTCAGACCAAACCTCCCATGTGGGCTGGTGGTCAGCTTGCGGGCCAGGACTGGGGCCCGGCTGGGATGCCTGTGGCTCAGGATGACCACACCTGCCTCTTCCTGGCGTTGGTGTCGGGCCGGGGGCTCCTTTCCCCAGGTGCCCTGGCTTCTAGAACATTCTGGCCGGCGGGGACCATATGGGCGGGCTGCTTTGTGCCGGGAGCCACAGGCCAGGCTTCCTCCTTCCACGGTGTAGAAAGAGCACAGCATGTGCTTTGAAGGGCACTGATGTGTACAGAGCACTTAAAGGAAAACCTCTGACTATTTTCTCAATGGAAGAGCAAATATTGACGTCTTATAAACTGAAGGGCAGGTTGGAGTGTGTGCGGATACCGACTTTGGGGCGCTGCCACTGCGGCTCCGCGGGGAGCCGGCGGGAAAACAGACGCTGGCGGCTTGGCCGCTGGGCCAGGAGGACCGGGAGAAATGCCCCCTCGGTTGGGGGCGCAGGGCTGGGCGCCCGGGTCTCCAAAGGGAGGGGAGGGGAGGGGCGGGCGGCTGGTCCGCTCAGCCCCTCCTGCCGGCTTTTCCGTCTGGAAAACCAGAAGTGGGGTGGGGAGGGGCGTCCTCCCATTCCTGGGGTGCCTTTGCTGGGCCTGGGGGAGCCCCTGCTAGGCTCCTCTCTCCCCCCCCCCAGCCCCGTCCCCACTTGCACATGACAGCCGACAGCCCGGCCACGTGGACAGCGTGACCATCGGCCGACTGCCCGCCGGCCGATGCGGACTGGTTACTAGAACAAAACAACACAAAGGCCAACTTCAGCCCAGAGAGCAGAAAGAGGGCAGCGGAAGGGAGGCCGTGGGCGGGGACGCCCTGCCTGCAGAGAACGGCTCCCTCCCGACGAGCCCGGGGCGCCGGGGGCCAGGTGGGCTGCAGGGCCCGGGAGGATCTGCCCTGCTGGCCTGAGGACACAGGGCTGCCGGCGAGTGTGCGGGTCGGGGGGTCGGCCCACTCCCGAGCGGAGGATCCGGTTCAGCGGCCGAACTCCAGGAGCGCCGGCTGGCCTGGAGGTCTCCCGCAAGGCCCAGCCTGCCCTGTACGTCCTTCTGCCCAGAGCCCAGGCTGTCTTCCGTTCCGAGCCCGCTGCAATCCCGCTGCACTGTTCTGGACGCTTCTGCCGGCAGTCCCCATCAGCTCTGTGCCTGCCTCTCGACCGTCTGCGTGGAGAAAGGCCCAGAGCTGCGTGGGACGGCTGCTGGAAACATCCAGAACAGCGCGGCAGGATTGTAGTGCAGGTCAGGAAAGAGAGCGACGGCAGCGACGGACAGATTTAGTGTTCAGAGTCAGTCCTCACCAGCCCTTGACCTCGTGAGTGACCCTGTTTCCTGAGGCCGTGATTCCGAGACGGTGCTGGAGGGTGTCCCCAGGCTGCAGGGACCCCGGACCCGTGTCCCCACAGCGCAGCAGCAGGTGTCTCTCCCTTGGGCGGAGCCCTTGGACGGGAAGGGAGAGAGCCGGCCTCCCAGCCACCCAGGTGGTCCTGCCACAAGGCAGAACGCCCCATAGGCCCTTCCACGGGGACGGGCTCCCCGCTCCAAGGGCCGCCCACAAGGGTGACATCGCAGTGGCCAAGAGGAGAGGGGCTGCTGTGTCCCACACCCCACAGCGTGACCCCCAGGGTGAGCTCGGGCTGTGCGACAGGGTTTTTCTCCATATGCCCCCCAGCCTGCCTCCGCCCCCCCAGCCCGCACCTGCCGCGCCCTGGGGTTGTTTGCCAGTGGCCGGTCCAAAGCGTCGGGACTGCACTTCCCGGCCCGGGTGCCGGTTGAGGGCAAACGTGGCCGGGAGGTAGGCCCTGGCATCGTTTGTCCTCAGCTCCTGACGCGTCCTTCCACCCGGACCCCCCACTGCTGTCTCACTGTCACCCTCCCGGGTGGCTACTCGTGGCCCCTGGATATTCTGTTCTTCCGTGGCCATCAAGTCCAGGCCAGAGGGCTGTGGTTCTGACTGCACGGGGTCGGGGGGGGGGGGCAGGAAGAGAGGAGCGGGTTCTCGTGCTGTGCTAGAAGCGCTCAAATCCCGCCAAGTGCCCTGTCGATTGAAGCCAGTGCTGATCCGAACGTGGAAAGCAACCACACCCACGGTGCGTGTGTGCCCACGTGTGAGTGTAAGCATGTGCGCACATGCTCACACTCACCTACATTTGTGCGTGCACGTGTGGGTGTGGAAGCGTGTTCACGTGCGTGTGTCTTTAAGGAAGAACAGAACATCCCGGCAGGCTGGCCTCTTCCAGGGCAGTCAGGGTCCCATGGTGGCTCTCATCCACAGCCGTCTGGAAGGGCACCCCGGGTCCCCGTGACCTCCAAGCCCAGCTCCCCACACTCCCGGGAGGAGCCCTGGACACGTGTCCCGTGTCCACGAACCGTCCCGGGAAGCCAAGGAGGGCCAGGCGGCGCGGCTCCAGGCGGAGGCCAGTGCACGGGGCGGGGGGGGGGGGGTGTCCCGCCCCAGCCCTGCGGGATGCCGTGTGGAGGCTGCCCCGGCCCCTGCCCCCATTCGCCCTGGGGTGGGTCCATCTGGCCTGACTTCCTCCCACGCTGCCAGCGCCACTCCAGGCAAATAGCCCTGCCCGGAGCCCAAGGACCCCAGGCACCCTCTGGCTGGGGACATGGGGCAGGAGGTGACCTGGCAGGCGACGCCTGAGGCCCCACAGCGCGGGGCTGACCTTGCCAGGGGCTGTGGGGGGGCGGGGCTGGCCCCTGTTGACCTCCGGGGAGCCCCACATGCCATGCTGGCCGCCCTTTAAAAAGCAGCTGATTATCTCAGATGCCAGGCCCGCTGGAGCCCTCTGCCCGCCACCCTCCCCCCTGCCAGCCCCGTGCTGGACCACAGAGCTGCCGGCTGAGGACGGTGGCCGCTGCTCAGAGAGCTGGAAGCTTTTGATTTGCGTCAGTGCCGAGCTGGCCAGGAGGAGCCTTCACGCCAGGCGCCTGGCAGCCTCATAGGGTGACGGTGACATCACAGCTCTTGGTCACCAGGCCTGCGGAGCCAGGGGAGTCCCGGGGGAGAGGCAGGAGGCACGCTCGCCCGGGTGCTGCCCGCTGAGCTGGCATTCCGGTCTCCCCAGGAGCGGGGCGGCTCAGGCCATGGGGTTTCTAGAAGCAGTTTCCATGATGCAAGCATCCCGGGGTCGGGCCCCAGGAGGAGGGAGCAGAAGCGCATGCTCTCCCGCAGCGGGCTCCCCACAGCCACCAGAGGCCTCTGGCTAATTGAGGGACTTGGCAGGAGCCCCGGCCGCCACGGCGAACCTGCAATTTCACGGAGATGAAAGCCTCCCCCGAGGACCCCCCTGAAAAACACAGGGACTAAAGCTCGGGAGGAAACGTCCGCTTCCCGATACCTTCTCTTTGGTGTCCCGTGGAGGCTCCAGCCCGAGCCGGGTTCGGATTGAGCTATGTGACCCCACTGCCTCTCGCGCCTCCCCCGTGTGACCTTCCCAGCCCTTCCTTATCACCACCCCTGCCGCTCTGGGGCAGGAAAGTGTGAGTCACCTCACAGATCCGACACTGTATCCTTGCAAAGGGCCTGCTGCAAAGGTGTCCCCCGACGTCCCTCTCAGAGCTAAAACCCTGTGGCCTCCTGTCACCTTCCAGGGCGCTCCCTGGAAGGTGCCCCCCCCACCCACAAGCCTCCCACGAGGGACCACCCGCGGCAGCTCGAATCCCCCTTCCCACAGCTCTGGCCTGCCCACACTCTCTTTTCCTCAGCCCAACGCCCTGGGCATGTGCCTCAGTTTACCTGCTCAGAAAGCTTCCTCCTCCAAGCACCAGACCAGGAAGGACCCATGTTCACCCAGAGCTCATCCACTGGCCTCAGGGCCACCACTTTTTCCAGCGCATGCTGTCCTGTGCCGCCCTCGGCCCCAGGTGGGAGATCTTGTCCCCCCGGCCATGCCGCGGCTGCCTGGAGGCCAGACCCCGTGCGCTGTCCGTGACACAGACTGCGGGGTTGGGTCCCGAGCACAAGGACACGAGTCTTCCTTATCACGTGGTCCCCGCGGCCTTGTCCTTGCTTACAAGGAGCACTGGTCACAGTCTGCTCTCCTCTGAAAATCCAAGAATCTGGGCGGCTCAGTCGGTTAAGCGTCCAACTCTTGGTTTCAACTCAGGTCATGATCTCGTGGTTTTGTGAGTTTGAGCCCCGTGTCGGGCTCTGTGCTTGTACCTGTTTCTGGGGCAGCTGTAACAGATCAACACACTGGAAGGCTAAAATCATGCGTGGGCAGGGCCGGTTCCTTCTGAGGGTTCCGGGGAGGGGGTCCTCTCCCAGCCTCGGGGCCTTGCTGACAGCCCTCGGTGCTCCCACACATCCCTCCGACCTCCGCCTTTTCCCGGTGAGTCTGTGTGTGCTTTTTTCTGTCGCTGGGTTATGTCCCCTCCCCACCGGCCAGGATGGTCTCATCTTGACCCTAATCACGCCCGCCAAGGCTCTTGTCGCACGAAGGTCACATTCACAGGGCTGGGTGGACATCTCTCCTGGGGCCACGGTTCAGCCCACGAGGCCAGGTGAGCAGGAGGAACAAGTCCCCTGTCCTGATTATGAGCTCACCTAACTGGCCCAAGCTGGTGTCTCGGGACCAGATCAAGACACCGAGGCCAGGGGATGGTGGCTGGCCCAGGGCAAGCTCGGTTGGGGCAGGGCCAGGACAAGAACCTGGGCGGCTCTTCCCCCCACTCCTGGGGGCTCACGTATGATGGGGGGGGGCTGTCCTGGCCCCATCAAGCACCTCAGACCCTAAGAGTCCTTTCCTCTCCCTGCTGCCCTCCCACCACTTGCCCTGTGACCTGTGGGTAGCTCTACATCACGAAGGTCTGCCTTGGTAAAGGACAGCAGCCGCCCTGGCTCTTCCTGGCCACGGGACTGGCCACCCCGGGCATGGAACCTGACAGCTGAGCCACTCAGGACAGAACCACACATCATGAGGCCTGGTGGGACCATCCGCTGTCACCATGACTCATCTACGGCGGGCAGGAACCGAGGATGGAGAGCCCGTGAGCTCGTCCGCCACGCTGAGGGTCACAGTCCGGGCGACTCAGAGCAGGGGCAGGGCCCAGGAGCAGGACCGATTGCCCTTCCCCCCAAGCCCCTCTAGGCTGCTAGCTGGGTCGGTGCCCCGCTTCTCCAGGGTGAAGCCTCCAAAGTCTGAACGGGCGAGGCCGCTGCTGCCTGACCCCAGACCAGAGCCAGTGACTCATGGTGGAGGCCTCCCGGGAGGGCTGACGGGAGGCATCTGGCCACAAATACTTGCACACGTGCTATTGCAGCCCTACAATGGAGTGGGTGGGGAAGGCCTTGGGGTCGGTGCCCACGCCCTGGAACCAGTGGGGGTGCCTGGCCCGGCAGGGGGTGCCCGGGCTGGCGGTGAAAGGGCAGACCGGGACGCCCGCCACCCAGGAGGGGCCCGGATGTGGTCCTCTCTCCCTCCCGGTGTGGGAAGGAGGCCTGCCGCCCCGGTCTTGGTGCCATTGGCAGGACAGGCAGGGCTGTCCCTGGGGACAGATGGACGCACGCTCTCCCCAGGCCTCTGAGGAGTCCGGGGAGCAGATCTCAGCAACAGGAGCCGCCAGGCACCCCCAGGAGAGCAGAGGGAAACCGAAGCAGACACCCCAGATTCCCAGGTGGACAGTATCTGAGTTTCTGGCTCGGGGAGGGGTAGCCCTTCCTTCCCCAAAGGCCACGTTTCTAGTTGCTGGTGAGCGGGGGTAGGGGGGGGCGCCTCTCGGGCAGCGGTCTCGGGCTCACCAGTTTGTCGTGTAGGGGAGCGCCTGGTGGCCCCTGGGGCACCCAGCACGCTCTGTGACTGCTCGTTCTCAGGGGTACCTGTGGGACACCGGGGGCTGAGGGGCCTGGGCGGTCTCTGTGGGGAGTTGTTCTCTGCCTTCTGGCTGCTGCTGGCTGAGTTCTGAGACGACTTTCCCAGAGAACTCCCGGGCCAGAGACAGACCCACCGGGCCTTTAACTCCGGCGGGAGGTTAAACCCGTCCATGGGGGCTCTGCCACGGCCACGGGCCTCATCCGGGACGACTCCCAGATACCCCCCCCCCTCAGGACCCTGTCTCCAGGGACAGCTCCTTACGAAGCTCCAGCTGGCAGGGTCGTGTTGCTTCGGTGGAAAGGAGCAGGAGAAGCCTCGCCCCGTGGGGTTGGCTGGACAGGCGGTGAGGGCCACCGGGTACAGGCTCCGGCCTGCCGCGGCCATCACGCATGTCCAAAATCACTGGCCAGGGAGCGAGTGGCAGGCCGGCTGCACGGGACCCGGCTCTGTGTGGGAGGGTCGCACGGCCTCCACAGCTCCCTCAGACGCCGCCCTTCACTCCGGAAACTCCTCTGGCCTCACTCAGCCCGCGGACGCTCGGTCAAGCTCCACGGAGCCGGTCGCTGCTCCCGCAGTGGCTGCCGCACCCCGTGACCGGGCTTCTGTCCAGTGGCTGACCTTTGCACTTTGAGAGGGGGTGGGGGACTGTCCTTGAAGGTGTCCCCAGCACGTGTCACAAGGCTGTGCACCTGTCCACAAGGACACATGCGTGTCCCGCCCCTACTACAGGCTCTGCACTCTACCTGCGATTCCGTCCTGGACGTGTGTGCTTGTGTCCACCATCCTGTACCACAGGGGAGGAGACCCAGGCCCAGGAGGGGCCGCGGGGGCCCCGCTTGCGGGTCTGGTCCCACCCTCCTGATTGGAGTGGGAGAGCCTCAGGCTGGGAGCTGGCCCAGCACCACCAGTGGGAAAACAGAGAAGACTTTCAGAGTCACCTTGGTCCACAGAGGGGGCATGGGCTCACGGACGCAGACCCTCCCGGTGCCCCCGTGCAGGCGCCCCAGGGTGGCCCTCGGCTGTCTCTGCTCCGTTCCGTGGTGTGGATGGTGTTGTGGGCTGAATTTTGTCCCCCGAAGAGAGATGTCCACTCCTAACCCCCGTTCCTGTAACAGGGACCTTATTCGGAAACCGGGTCTTTGTGGGTCTAATCAAGTTACAAGGAGGCCAGGCTGGATTGGGGTGGGCCCTCAATCCCGTGAGGGTGTCCTTAACAGAGACAGAAAAGGACACACGGACACAGAGAGAAGCCATGTGAGGATGTAGGCCAGAGAGCAGGGAAGCCCAAGAATTGCCAGCAACTCTGGAGCTGGGAGAGAGGCGGGGACAGCTCGCGTTCCAGAGCCTCCAGAGGGGGCGGGGCCCGGCCGACACCTTGTTCCAGACTGTTCCAGATAAGTGTTGTATGCTGCTTTGAGTGGTGGTCCAGGACGCTGGTAGAGATGGGAAGATTCCAGGAAGCGGCTGTCTCCACCTGGACACCGCCCCCTTCCTGGTCAGGGGGCGCCTCGTGGGGCTTAGGAGGGCCCCTCATGGGGTCCAGCTGCATACCAACCACCAGCCCGGCCCATTAGCCCTGACTGCCTCCTGGCACCGTCCCTCCGCCCCTCCTCTGCGCCAGACGGGCCTTCCGCGGGTTTCCTTCCCTCAGCGCCGTGCAGCCCCTCCAGTCCAGCCCCTCCAGTCCAGCTGTCCACCGTGACCCCCGCCCAGCACCCTGCCACCTTCCCTGGCCTCCCTGCTTCCACATCCTGATCTTGCAGAAAACCCTCATCTCTGCTGGGTTCCCTGGCGACAGAGAGAGGCTGGCTGCTTCCGGGCTCCCCGCAGAGGATCTGTCTTGCCCACGCGCAGCTCTGGGCCCTGGAGGATCAATGTCTCTGCTCACCCACAGCCCATTGGAGCCGTAAGTGCAGGGAGCATACTCCACAGCTGGGGACATCTTGGAGGGACACGGCTCCCTTTTCCAGGCTCCCCAGCCTCCCCCCTCAGTCTCCCCACGTACCCACGGCCCACCTCACAGGCTCCCCACGGCCCCTTGCCCCAGTGACAGGCCCTAACCTACACAAGCGGGTGAACCAGTGTCTGGGACCCACACCACGGGCAGGAAGGAGCTGGCCCTGGCCACACGGACGCCATCCCGCTGTGCTGGGCCCTGTGTGCCCCATCTCACCTGATCCCCCAGCCCCTCGTGGAAGGGGTTCTCCCTGAGATTCAGGTAGGGAGTTCCAGGCTCTGCCAGGTGTAACGGCCTCCAGTGACTCACAGTGGGGAGCGGGTCCCGATGCGCACGGGGCTCCTGTCACTGCTGTAACAAAGATCACCCACACAGATTTAGTCCCGTACAGTCTCCTGGGCCCGAGGTCCTACAGGGTCTCACTGAGCTAAAGGCAAGGTGCGGGTGGCACTGGTTCCTTCTGGAGGCTGCAGGAGAGAATCAGTTTCCTGGGCTTTTCCAGCTTCTAGAGGTCTCTGCACACCTTGGCCTGTGGTCTCCCCCCGCTCCATTCACAGCCAGCCTCTCTCTGACACAGACCCTCCTTGGCCACAGAAGGTAACACATTCCCAGTTTCCAGAATCAGGACGTGGACAGCTTTGGGGCCACGATTCTGCCCATGCTGTCTCAGCAGACCCGCAGACACACACGTGCATCTGGCCTGGCCAAGGACACAGAGGTTCCTCCTTGCACGTCCCGACCCCCCGCTTGCCTTGTCCACGGCGCCAGGCCCAGGGTAGCCCCGGGAGGATCGGATGGCTGGGACACAAGCTGCCCATTGTGAGTCCGTGGGTGGATCCCGCAGGGCCTGGCTTGCCCGAGGCCGGCATCCTCCTGCCCGGTAAACAGGCCTTTGTTTGGGCAGCAGGGTCCCCACCCTGCCCTGTGCTGGCCAAGACCAGACTCAGAGTCTGGCTCCCCTGCCTGCCCGCCGGGTGACACGCTGTCACTCAGTCACCCTGGCATCAATGCCTTGAGCCATCAGCAACTTCTGAGAGCAGGAAGCTCAGCTCAGGAGGCTCTGGGGCGGGGTGAGCAAAGCCTTCTGGGAGCACTTATCGTAAAGCGTCAATCCGTACCGAGGAGAAAACCATATGTGAATGAATTTTGCTTTAAGTAAAAACATGAGATTCTGGGGACATGGTGACTTTGTCGTGGGTACTTGGGACCTCTCCCTCTGGGGCATTAATTCATGACCTCCACGGTGGGGGGTGTGCTCAAGGAAAGGGAGCCACCCCCAAATGCTACACGGGTCTGGTGGCCAGCAGGTGCTGGGGCTCTCGGTTAGTGCTGTCACTATCGTCACCAAGGAAAGAGGAAGGAGGGGGAGGGGAGGCTTGGCGGCAGGGACCTTGGGGAGGGTAACAATTACATCGAGGGTCAGACCTGGAAGGAAACCAATAGGGCCTGGTGGCCGGGGAAGAGGCCTGGAGCCCAGAGGAAGGGGAACAGGGTCCTGACTCCGGGTCAGCCCCTCTCCTGCCTGCATGGGCTCCACGGCCTCACCTGCTTGGTGAGGCCAGTTTTCAGCCTTTCCTGAGACCGCACCTCCTCCAGGAGCCAGAGGCCCTACTCTGATAAGTCCGTCGTCCCCGAGGCTCAGGAATGAGGACCCTCTGGGAAAGAGCCAGGCCCAGATAAATGACAACGTCCCACATGTGCAAAGAGCGTGTCCCACTCCTGCAGACCCCCAGAGGGGCTGGGCTGGACGGCCCCCTCTAGGCCGCCATCCAGACTCCAGGGGACAGGAGAGGCTGAGGACCGGGCTTGGTGGCCCTGTGCCAGGGCTGGCTCTCCTTCGAGGGTCATGACCGCTGACGGCAGAGCCAGAGGCCTGGTGGCAGGAGAGGGCGAAACAGGAGCTCCTCAGGGAGCACAGACCTGGGTGGGACAGGGGGAGCAAAGGGGAAGAGGGGCAGGAAGGGAAGTCAGCGGAGAGAGAGGCCTTAGCCCAGAGGAGAGAGGAGCGGCTTGGCACCTCCCCACCCAGCGCTGTTGCGGGAGGCGCGGTATCCCCACCGAGAGGGGTCTGTCTTTCCCGCCACCACCCCCCACCCTCCGCCCAGCAGGGCCTCCCAGCATCCCGGGGGCAGCCGGGGCAGGCTCCAGGGGCCACTCTGGATCTCCCCCAGGCGTGGGCAAATCCCCGTTGCACCCAGGCCTGATTCCAACAGGCTCCCTCCCACCTGCTCGCCACCTCAGCTTCTGGAATTGGACTCTGCTCCGTCTGGTTGAGGCCCTGCCTGTCTCCTAGGCCCCCCGGGGCCCCCTGGGGCAGGCCGTGTCCCTGAACTCAGCCCAGATGCCCCAGGCACAGGTGCTGCCAGATGCTTTGCTGGGGGCTTTGTACAGGTGCCGCTGGGACCGCATGTGAGGCGCCTGGCACGCCACGAGGCTGGCGTCTCTCAGAATAGGCAGGAAACAGATGGCCCGCTTATGGGAGAAAAGAGGCTTGTTCATGAAAAGAGCATTTTCGGAGGTGCTGCCAGGGTTGAGGGAAACCACCAGAGCCGCCGCAGCATCAGTGGACCTGTGAGGGCGGCAGCTGTGACCACCCCCAGGCCGAAGGGGTCTGGGAAGGATGCTTGTTACCGAGCGAGGGCCAGGGCCTCAGGCCTCATGGCAGCTCCTCTCCTCACAGGGGGTGAAGGAGAAAACGTAGCCCTCCCCACACGCTTTCCTCCGTATGACGTCCTCTACTCTTCCTGCTTGGCCGAAAGTTCCGGCCGGAAGCTAGAGGGTGAGGGAGTCAGGTGGGCAAAGTCACCCACCCGCTGGGCAGCTCCCTGGGGCAGAGCGTGGGGTGGAAAGAACGGGGGTTCCTGTCTCGGATAAGAGGGTACCTGGGGGGAGCAAATAGCCGGTCATTACCCCCCAAACGGGAGACATTTGACAACGTTAATGTGGTGGTGGTGAAGGTGACGATGGAGGACGCGGAGGTTGTGCCAACGGCGGTGATGATGACGTTCCCAGCGCTGGAGACGAGGTAAGCCCCCCTCTAGAGTCCGGGGCCATCTCACGGCACGTTGCTAGCTGCGGTCAGGTCACGAGTCCGGCGTCGATTTCTTTTCGAAGCCCCACACCGGTCACCTCGCGTCCCGTCCACGTCCGTCCAGGCGGGTCGCCCGGGCACAGTGAGGGCCGCCCGGCCCGACCACCTGGCCAGGATAGTCCTGTTAGCTGTGAACCCACCACCTAGCCCCCGTTCACGGTGGCCATCGACGCATCCTTGACCCTCCCTGAGCCACTGAGCACCGGTCACACCTGTGGAGGCCCCTGTGCCCTCTTATTCGGGTTACTTACTTCCCAAGGTTCCCACAGGCCTTGTGCAGGAAGCGGCCTCCCGGGGTGGGGATGCCGCCCTCCCCACAGGGTTCCTCCCGCCCCAGATGCCCACCCACTTGGACAATGTTGACTTCCTCTTCGCGCCCTCCACCCCCTCCGGCCTCCCTCCTCCACCCTCCTCCTGGTCAACGAGTAGCTTCTCCGCCTACGGCAGGGACGTGGGTCTGTGAGTCGCGGGGAAGAGTGTGCCAGCCACCGGCTGGGCGTCCAAGCCTTCCCCCTGCTGCGGCACGCTGCTCCCCTCCCCCCTGAGGCTCCGGGCGCTGGGCTCTCACACTCCAAGTCCACATGGCAGAGCCCTTCCTGACCTTGGGTTCTTTCCACATGAGTTCCCTCGGTCACTTTTTAAACCAATCCAAACACGCGCCCGCACGCACAGACCACAGAAGCAACGTCGCTCTCAGACCCTGTCCCCACGTGGCAGTGGGGAGCTCTTGAAGGGGCTCGGAGGGGCCAGGCCCAGCCCAGAGAAGGTGTCGCGCCCTGTCCCACGCCTGGGGGCCGGCTCTCTAGGGACAGAGTGTGGCGCTGCATGACTGTGGCGGAGGTCTCAGACCTACACGAGTCCGTCCCAACCGCGAAGCATCCCCGGGACTCCCGATGCCTGCCCCCAACACCCCAGACGGGTGGACCTGCTTCTCCAGGCTCTGGTAGGCTGAGCAATGGCCCTTCCCGCCTCCCACCCCTACAGCATCCCCCACGGACGTTGTTGCGGACCCGATCCAAGTCTGCTCGTTCCCGGGAAACCCCGCACCGGGGTCTGCCCACTCGACCGCCTCGCCGGATCACCCCTGGATCACGCACCACCCTCCCACTGGGTTCCCTGCCGCCCCCGCCACCATCTGTCTTCCACGCGGCAGCCGACGGAGCCTGAGAACACGCGCCGAGGGGTCTCCCCTCCGCTCACAGCCCCCGCGCGCGGCCTCACCGCACCAGCCTGAGCGGAAGTGCGACCACGGGCCCCAGGCCGCCCCGCTCTGCCTGCCCTGCTTTTTCCACAGCACTTAGCGCCTTTTAATCTACTACTTCAGGCCTGTGTTCTCTTTTTTGCTTTTTTCCTGTCGTCCCACACGCGGGCACTAATTCCATACAGGCCCGGGTCTGTCTGTTTTGCTCGCCGACATATGATGAGGGGGAGGAGAGGACGCAGCGCCTGGCCCAGGCCCGGCCCATGGGAGGTGCTTAGTAAATATTTGCTAAGTGAATGAATGCACGGAATGCATTTCTATTTCCAGCCCCAGCCAGGCCCCTGGCAACCCAGAAAGCAGACAGCGCTGCAAAGAAGAAAGCCCCAGCTCTCAGGGTTTGAGGACGGTTTCCGTTTGAAGGGCTGGCTGAGAAATAGGTTTTTCCCTCCTCGGATCTCAGATCTCCCAGCACCTCCTGCTGCCAGGTTTCCCCGAGCAGCTGAGCGGACAGGCTGGGGGAGGGGAGGGGGCTCCGGGGTGGGGGCGGAGCACGGAGGCCGCAGGCTGTCCCTGCAGCTGTTCCCGGGGCAAATGCCTGGAATTCTGGGATCATTCCCACCGGCCAGGCCAAGCCCGGGCCAGCCGAGGGCTGACCCCCTCCAAGCCAGGAGGGCCTGCCTGCCACTGCCTTCCGTGTTCTCCCGAGAGAGCCGTGGGCCTCGTCCCGGACCCCGAAGGCCAACCTCGTGGGAGTGACGGGCCCGAGTGTGCCCCCTCCCAGCCCTCCCGGGGGAGTCGCAGCTCAGCCTGGCCTGTTCACTGTCACACGCCGGATGGCCCGGGCCCGCTCCACAAGTCACAAGGCAGATTTTCCATTAGCGTCAAACGGATCCTGACCTGCAACTGATGTGAGCGGAGAGGGGGAAGTGTTTTGGATAACTCGCATCCTGGGGATCTCCGGGGCTAGGCCCCCAGAGGGCACCGCACCCCCGCAGGAGGGGTGGGAATGGCCCTTTGAGGGCTGACCTGCTCATGCCCCTCTGCCTCCTTCCACCTGTCTCACGCCCACACAGGGACCCTCCGCAAAGTGAGGGACACGACCCGGATGCTACGAGACGGGAGGATGCGTGATTTGCCTGGTTGCAAGTGCCTACTGGCTGCTTCTGCGCCCCACACGTTTGTGGAGCACCTACTGTGTCCCTAGCACTGTGACCTCTGGGTGACCCCCGCCCCGCCAGGCATGAGAAAGTCGGGGTGCTCCCGACATGAGGTGTAAGGGTCCCGAGGGGCACTATCAGCTGGGAGTGGAGGCAGGAAATCTCTCCCCGGACTGCCAGGCACTGGTGCTTTCAACTTCCCAGATACAATTTCCTCTTCGTCTTGGGAACAAAATCCCTTTGCTTCCCTTTATCAAAACTTCCTTGCCCAAGCTTTACCCTCATGATGGCTTCTGTTGCTGGCTTACAGCCTCGCCATCCCCAGGGTGGTCACATGGGCTGGCCGCAGTCACGCGACCCAAGGCCAGCCAAAGAGAGAAATGCACGCCCCCACCCCCAGAAACCAATTAAGGGACGCCCGTGGTGACCCAAGTCCAAACAATCAAAATGACGCTCAGGGTTTTGCTGGAATGGTGAAGGCAGAATGACCCTGGTCCTCCAAGTGGGGAGTCCTGAGGACCCCTTAGGCCTAGAGCTCTGGGGCCACCTTCGCCCGAGAGCAAAGCCAAGTGAAATCAAGGTGAGAGTCTGAGTAAGATGCTGCCCGGTGGCGTCTTTGAGCTGCGGCCACGCCTAAAAGTTAGCTGCCTTCTACACTCTCCTGTCGAGTGAACCAGAAAACTCTTCGTTCCTGAAACGAGCTTCGCTTGGGGCCCGTCCCTTGTAACCAAAGGAATCCTCTGTGCAACTGAACAGTATAATTCTCAATGTATGGAAACGGGGTTCTCTAGACGCGTACGGGGAGCAAAGCAACGGTAAGGAAGATAGAGCCTTCCTGGCTCTTGAAAGCGGGGAAAGGGATCTCGGGTTTGGGCAGATACATGTGCAAACTCACCTCCTCCCTGGGCTCCTTCTGGAACTGCCCACACTGGCCTGGCCTCCAAAAATCCGAACCCTGCTGCTGACAGGCTCCACCACTGGAGCAGCTGTGTTTATGGCACTGGCATCATGGTCCCCCTGAGTGACCATCTCACCTCCCTGCTAGATGGGATGAGTTTTCTTTCCTCCGCAGCTGTCTGGCCGCGGGGGGCGTCCGCGGACCCGCGGCTGGGGGACCGGCCGGACCCCCGCCCGCCACTGCCCATCACAGAGCTTGGTAGACAGATCGCCGTGTCGTCAGGGCAGTCTCAGTCTGAGCCTCCCGGCTTCCCTCTCCCCACCCCCAGCACCTGCCACATCTCCCCGAGGGTCAGGCCGGTGGGCCAGCAACGGGTCCGGGGAGGGCCCGCAGAGCATACAGCAGGCAGCACAGAGCAGCAAAGAAGTCAGGCTTCGGCTGCAGAGAGATGAACAACCGCCCATCTCATCATGCCCTCACCTTACTAGAGGTAAACACATGACCCCCAGAGCTTCATACCTGCCCACACATGGTGTGAGATGGGAGAGGCCGGACCCAGCCTGTGGTCACCTGGGGGAGGCAGCATGGTGGGGGGGGGCAGCGTGGCCTGGGGGAGGCATCGTGGCCTGGGAGGGCAGCGTGGCCTGGGGGGGACAGCACGGCCTGGGGGGCAGCGCGGCCTGGGGGGGCAGTGCGGCCTGGGGGGGCAGCGTGGCCTGGGGGGGCAGCGTGGCCTGGGGGAGGCAGCGTGGCCTGGGGGAGGCATGTGGCAAAGGCAAACCCAGGCCCAGATCGTAGAGGCAAAAACACTCTCTCTGAAAAGAAAGGTCTGGGTTCAAGGCCCAGAGAACGGGGATTCTGAAAAGAGAAAGCGTCCAAGCAAAAAACCCAAGGGGACTGTCTGCTGTGCCCTGAGTTTTCACCTTGAACCAGACCATGTGGGGAATGCTGGGGCCCTAGAACTCTCTGGAACTCTCTGGGGAGATCTCTAGGGCCTGGAAAAGACCTCACGGACTGATTTGCAGAAGCTGCATCGGGGGAAGAAGCTGTCGACTGAGCCCAGCGCGGGGTGAACTGGGTGGAGGGTGGGCTCTGAGAAGGGGCAGGGCAGGCTCCCAAAGTCTGGCCGTCCTGGGGGAGAAGTGGGTTTTGCTGGCGCCTTCTCTACACCCAGAGTCTTTCCGCTCCCTCCTTCGCTGCGGCCACGTGGGGCCCTGAGCGTGGACAGACTGCCACTTCCCCTGGCCCCGCTGAGCGGGTTCCTAGAGAATCCTTGCAAGCCACCAGAACAGACCGCTATCAAAGAACCAATAACTAGAACCAACAGCAGCATAAAATATGTCCAAACCACGAGTCCCAAGAATTCCCGTGAGAGTGGTGACGACCTGGGCAGGTCTGCGAGCCCCTGCAGGAAAGGGGACCGCTCTTCCTCTAGATGCACACCCCCACGTGTCTCCCCTCCCCCAACTCCCCCAGCCACGCGCCTCAGGGGGCATCTAGGAGGGAGCCAGCCACAGGCGAGCAGGCCGAACGTGTGTGGGCAAATGGAGTAGGTGGCCGGTGCCCCTCGCCGGCCGGGGCCCATCCTGCTGGCGGGAGATAGCGCTCCTAGGTTTCTGCGCCTGGGGGTGGGGGGCAGAACCCCCCCCCCGGCAGCCCACCTCCTCCGGCTCCCCTCAGGGACCGTGATGCACCAGGCAGCGTCCAGCGCGGGAGAAGGGCCTTTCCTCTCTCCAGCTCCTCCATTGGCAGCGACCAGATGCGCTGGGCCGGCTGCTGACACGGACCCTGTCCAGGCTAGTTCCGTGACTCCCGTGGACAGAGGGCCACGCGTGCCTGGGTGACAGCACGCGCCTGCAGGCCCGGGGCTGAATCCCCAGGGTGTCCAGAGCCAGTGGACGCAGGGGGCAGGTGTGCGATCAAGCAGGGCGAGGGCGGGGCGGTGAGCAACCTTCCCACGGCAGTAGTGGTGTTGGTGGCTCGACGAGCCGAAGGCGGGTGTCCGAGGCGGCCTCGGGGCTGACCCAGAGGGACGCGCACACGGAGGGGACTTTGGCCCACCGTTGGGAAGAGTGCGTGAGGCTCCGGGGAGACAAGGTGAGTCCGGCCTTGAACGGCTGAGTCTGGGGTGACGGGGACCCCGGGACGGAATGTCCATCCCACCAGCACAGAGGTACCGAGGGTCTGGGAGGGGCTGGGGCTGGCCGGGCGGGCCTGGGTCTGGTGGGTGCCCCCACCCTGCTTCCCAGGCTGGCCCCACTGGTCACATTCTCTGAGCTGTTTCTGCAGCGTTTATGGAAATGTAATTTTGCCCGGGAGATGCATACGTAATTGGGAATATTTTAATGTCTGTTTACAGTCACTGTTCTTGCCTGACTGATTAGCAGCGTTGAGGGAGAGGATTGTGCCGGGCGGCCTCCGTGGGTGCAGGGCTCCGGATGCCTGTTTCTGGGATTCAAGTGCCACTTCATTTGGAATAGTCCTCTGGGTCCAGAGCAGAAAGTGACCTCAGAGACGAGCCCGTCTCTGTCACGGGGCTGGGCCGCAGGACCTAAGTGAGCCAACAAGGGACACCCTCACTCAGCGTTCTGGAGGCTGGAGTGTGAGGCCCACACGTCAGCCGTGATATTCTCAGGCTTGGGTCACATCACCTCAGTCCCTGCCTCCATCGCCACCTGGCCTCTTCCCTGTGTGTCTGTGAGTCCTCCTCTTATAAAGACACCAGCCGTCGGATTTAGGGCCCACACTCACCGCTAGGACCTCACCTCAGCTTGATTACGTCTGCAAAGACCTTATTTCCCTATAAGGTCACATTGTGATGTTCCAGGCAGATGTGAGTTTGAGGGAACCTATTCAACCCACTCCATCGTCCCACAGTCCCACACAGATGAGGAAACCGCATCTGAACTGTGAGATTTTTCAGGCCGGCTGGGATCGACCTTGGAGCACAGCCTGTATCCTTCCCGGCCCTGCCTTCCAACGACCAGCTCCCCTAGAAGCTCTGGGCCTTCAGCGCTTGGCCCCCTTCCAGCCGGCTGGGCTCCCCCGTCCTGGGCCCATCCTCCCCCCTCCAGGGAGCGGTGAGGAGCCGTCTCCAGACACACTGTCAAGTGGATAAAGCTGGATGCAGTAAGCAGTGTGCTGTCTTTGGTGCAATAAAAGGTAAAAATAGGAATATGTGCGTGTTTATTTACATTTGCAAAAGATACGAGCACTGGAGTGATCAATCAGAAACCGATAAAAATGGTGATTGCGGGGTAAGCGGAGTGAAGCAGGGCAGTGAAACTTTGCGATAGGGTGTGCGTTAGAAAACCCACCCAGCCCTCCTCCTGTCTCCCTTACCGCTCAGAACACTTGGCCCTGATGCTTCTGTCACCACACGTGGGGGCTTTGGTCCCCACCGCAAGCAATTCTCCGCAACACCAGCCGGGTGTCCTACAATTTAACTCAATTCTGGCACCATCCACCCAGAGACAGCGTCGGATCCCACAGGTTAGGGGCTGAGTCCCACGACACCCTACCCCTGTCACCCCCGACACCCCCCCTTCAGGTGCCAGTCACAGCCAGCAGGGCCCAGCGGACCCACCGCTTCTGACCACGGGCTGCAACCAGGGTTCCCACGACCCTCCTGGGCTTCCATCAGTTTGCTAGAGCGGCTCCCAGATCTCCAGGAAACACGGTCACCGGGTCATCGTGTGATAAAGGAGGGGACAAAGTTGCAGATGAGCAGTCGGATGGAGGGGTGGGTACGGCGGGTCCCGGAGGGTCCTGAGCACAGGACCTTCTGTCCCGCAGACTTGGGGTGCGTCACCCTCTCGGCGGGGACGTGTGCACCCGCCCGGCAGCTCTCCGGGCCCCACCTGCTGGGATTTGCGGGGCTTCCTCACGCAGGAATGAGATGGCTCATCACCTCCATACCCAGCCCCTCCCCCTCCCCAGAGAATTGGGGGTCGGGGCTGAAAGTTCCGAGCTTCCAGTCCCGAGCTTCAGGTCCCCAGAAAGACCCAGGACCGATCCAGGAGCCCACTGAGTCACCTCATTAGCCCAAAAGATGCTCCCAGTGCCCTTGTGACCTAGAAAATTACGGGGCGTTCGGGACCTCTGTGCCGGGGACGGGGGCAGAGACGGGTACAAATGTTTCCCATGATCTCACAGTGTTTGACTTCAGAACTATGTAAATGTTGTGGGCTCCTGGGTGGCTCAGTCAGTTAAGTGTCTGACTTGAGCTCAGGTCATGATCTCACGGTTCATGAGTTTGAGCCCCGCCTCGGGCTCTGGGCTGACAGCTGGGAGCCTGGAACCTACTTCAGATTCCGTGTGTCTCTCTCTCTGCCCCTGCCTGGCTTATTATGCTCTCTCTCTCTCTCTTGCTCTGTCTCAAAAATAAATAGAGAAAGAAAGAAGGAAAGAAAGAAAGAAAGGGAACCATGTAAATGTTTTCGTATTCAAAAGCTTAAACTGAAAAAGAAAGTATCCTTACAAAAAGAAAACAACCAATTTATATAAATTTATGTTCTTTAGATTGTATTACAGTATTTAGATTCTTTTCAATGGGATTGTTTTAAGGACAAAAGATGATAAAGAAATTATAAATATCATTCGGTAAGTCTTACTGTTAGTACTAACTCTGACATCGTTATTTGAGATTTTTTTTTTTTTCAAATTTTTTTTTCAACGTTTATTTATTTTTGGGACAGAGAGAGACAGAGCATGAACGGGGGAGGGGCAGAGAGAGGGAGACATAGAATCGGAAACAGGCTCCAGGCTCTGAGCCATCAGCCCAGAGCCCGACGCGGGGCTCGAACTCACGGACCGCGAGATCGTGACCTGGCTGAAGCCGGACGCTTAACCGACTGAGCCACCCAGGCGCCCCAAGATTTTTTTATATTTTTCTAAGATAATGCCAACAAGTAATTACATGAATGCTGCGGGCTGCGGCTCTGCCGGGGAGGGACCCGGCTCCACCCCTGCTCGGGGCAGGGCGTCCCGCGGCCTCCGGGCCACACAGCCCTGCTGGGGAAGTTTTGGCCCAAGCCAGGTGAGCCTGGATGCAATGGAGCCTTCAGATCGAAGTCCTCATTTACGGGGAATCACAGGGAAAGGGAGGGGGAGGACAGTGAAGTGTCATCAAGGACAAGAAGAGACATCTGAGCAAGGGACTCTGGGATGCACTTTCTCGAATAGGCCTCGGCCTGGGAGAAGCAGAGGGAGGGCCGTTCCAGATGACAAGAAATGGAACGGACCTGGGGCGCCTGGGTGGCTCAGTTAAACATGCGACTTCGGCTCGGGTCATGATGTCCTGGTTCATGAGTTCGAACCCCGCATCGGGCTCTGTGCTGACAGCTCAGAGCCTGGAGCCTGCTTCCGATTCTGCCTGTGTGTGTGTGTCTCTCTCTCTGCCCCATTCGTGCTCTGTCTCTCTCT